GTTTTTTTTCACCTATATCCGAGGTGGTACTATTTTACCTGCGTATACTATAAGAAATTCAGCCCACAATCCTCTATTTCATCTTATCCAGACTTACCCTTTCCAGCAACGGCGGAGCACGAGGGGCGGCGCCCTCGTCGCCACCCACCGCATCCCCTTCCTTCTGAGACCCACCTCGCCACTGGCCCTCCCCCTCCTCTTCTCCCACCTCGCAGCTCCGGAGGCTGCCGGATCCGTAGCATCCCGTACCCACCCATCCCTCTCCTGTCCCATCTCTCACTCTTCACGCGGCTCCTCGTGGCGCCACCTACGGCGGATGATTCAGGCGACGTCCGGCGAATCCCGCCATCGCGAAGCACAGCCCGAGCTCCCCTCGGACCGCGACACCCTCCCATCCAGCTATATCCAGCACTCAAGGCCACCAAAGCCCACCCGCGACCCTCCCCCCATGGCTAGAGTTTCGGGCATCTTGTCCTCACCCATGGACATGCCGTCCTCCTCTCGTCCGGCAAGTGGATCCCCTCCCTTGGCTTCGTCCTCTCTATCTCCCCTTTTCTCTAACCTCTACTCTTCTCTTCTCCTGTAGATGTGCAGGGAGGAACGACCAGTGGACACCTTGCTACTGCTCGGGGACGAAGCGGCCATGGAGATTCCTCCTCTGCTCCCAAGTCCTTAATCTGTCGCAATTAAGATTGGCACTTCCTACATCCCTCCTTTAGTTGCTTAGTCACTAGACACACGCAGCTAGGTTTTCTTTGGTTCATTGATATGGTTCATCTTCATCATGATGGATGTGCCCTCACAACCAAAAGGATCAACATACCTCCATGGAGATTATTTAATAACCTAGGTAAGGATAAAACTATAAAACTAAATAGGACACACCTACAGTACGACACCAATACAGCGGCTCAAGTCTGAACTAATTAACTGGCGGCTGATGATTTCAGTGAAAGAACTCTTTGTTTTTACTTTTTTATTTTCTTGGTGTATCCGCAGATTGCACCGTTTTTCTGTATGAGAGGCACTATTAGAGCCACCATAATAATTCTAGAAGAGAGTTTTAAAGAACCATCTGATGTGTTAGCCAATCAAATGTAGGGTGTTACATTATAGATTGGTTCGAGAGAGAGTTGGTTCAGTACTATAGGCTTGTGCGTGACAACAGAAATATATTAATCCAAGTGGACATTGTTTTCCTCCAGAAACAAGGTAGATCCATCTGGGATGTGACAACGAAGTGCTGAGCAAAGAAGTGGCTTGGTGGGGATGGCATGCTTAATTTGATCTACTTTAAATTATCATGCACCTTCTTTCCTTTTACTTATTAGTTCTCTCCCTGAAGCTAGAAAGACACCGTGACATGCAAATTTGATCCTATCAACCTCAAGAATTATCTTTTCCTTCTAAATGTCCCAGCAGAAGATAAGATTTGGCTTCACTGATGTAAATAATTCTAAGAGGTTTGCATCCTTCCTTTTTACTTATGTACATTATTGATGATGGTGCTACCTATGCACATATTCAGGTTGCAGCTATATTCATTGTAAGCAGAAGTTTTTTTTTGAAGAGCTATCTTTCGGGCACATGCTCAGGTTCGTTTGATATCTAAGTAAGGATAAAACTGATGGTTAGTACCTGATATGTCTTCTCTAAGAAAGTTCAAGTATTTGATACTTAACTTACACGTTGAAATTTAACAAGCATGGGAGAATCTGACTGTCACATTTGTACATTCTCAGTTTTTAGCTTAAGATCAAGATTCCATAAGGCTAATTGACCAGTTAAATTGTATTCAGTTTTGGTGTGGAAACTCATTGACAAAAATGTGTATTTTAGACTTTTAGTTCCAAGTGTCAATACTAGAAAGAGAACACTGAGCTTGATCTTCAATCGAAATGAGTAACTGGAGCATCAGGCTCTTTAAACTAAAGCCTACATAGGTAATCATATATGTTCTACTACATCATTTGTTTAGATGTCATACTTTAAGTTAACAACCCCCGTTCTTTGTGCTACACCCAGCTATAAATCCTTGCCATCTGATTTCATAAAATTCTATTCCACCATATAATGAAGCACATATTTTCAAAAAGCTATAGGTCTGTTCCAAAGCGTGATGAGCAGACCACCTGTAGGTCTGTCTGTTTCCTGCTGGATGATCGAAACCAACTAGAGTTAAATGTTTTGGTTCAGTTTCAGATGACTAAAAAACTGGCTTGGTTCAGTTTGCTAACCAGCAGGAGAACAGAAGAGAAGTGGTACTGTCACTCACATTGCCGGCAAGGTCGTCAGTGAGGCGGTGCCGCGTGGGAGAGGAAGTCATAGGGGGTCGCTAGATCTCACAGGGAAGATCAGGGGAGAGAGGAGCTACCGCGCATCCGTGCCAAATCTGACAGACGGCCATGCTTTTGTGCTAGGTCTGGGTGCCACGGCTGAGGTTCTGTGGAGGAGCATGTGACACACAAAGCACGAGTAGATGGAGTGGAGGTGTAGGGAGCACCGGGAGGTAGCTTCGTCCTTGCCACGGGCGCTGGTTGGAGAAAAGAAAGGGTGGCGCTGGGTGGTGAAATAACACGAGGAAGAAAGAGGAGCTCCCGGTGGGATTGGGGATTTGGTACTGTTGTTGCTGTAGATATTGTACTTTGGCATCCACTAGAAGTTGCTATACATGCACTCGCATTGATTTTTTTTCAAAGACAACATGCCTACTTTTGAATTCCACCAACAACATTGTCGGTGATGTAATATTTTAAATGTTAATGTCCAGCAATTAGGTGTGAAAGCGGACGGTGTCTTCATGTCCACGACCGTGCACGAAGTAAAAATTTCACTAACACGATTCTTAAAGCAGCATGCCCACACCTGTCCATGAAGCAAATATTTACGCTAATCTTTAGTTACTATAATGACGGTGTTGGTTTTTTTCGTGGAAGGTCGTGGACATGCAAACGCCGACATGGTCCACGTGCATCCCTACTAGCAACTTTTACGAATACATTAGTAATTATACTGTATTCTTAATATATATGTGAGGGAAATATTGGTGTGAAATGTTGACTTGCTCTCAATCTGTATCTCTTCATTTTTCCTCCACTAACAAATTTCACCACATGGCATGAGTTGTTCAGTGTCAACCACCAAGTTATCCCTCCACTCTGAATGCCATCTGTGTCCTTGGTGAGATTAAGAAAGAGGGAAGGATGAAGAGTAGAGAGAGCGTGACATCGATGCACCATGTTTAATTCAGACCCAAAGGAGGGGATGCACAAACAGAGAGAGAGAGAGAGGTATGCGGCATGTCAGTTGTTGCGGTCACCATGTCTTCGCCATTCCCCACCTCCATGTGGCCACTACCCCCTCCCCGTACACGTCTCAAGCCCTCAGGTCACACCCTCATCAGTCATTGTGATAAGTAAACAACATATAACTTGGTTAACCCGTTGCAACGCACGGGCCCTTTTGC